CCATCCATGACATAGCTTTCTCCTTTGCACAGGAGGTTAATGCTGTTGAACCTTCCTGTGTCTCTGCTGTGCATAAATAAACCACTGTGCTTCTTCCTGGACATAAATAAATTGTACATCAGTGCAAGTGAGTACTAGGCTTTGAGCTCTGTCAACCAAATGACTATAATGAAGATTATTTTTTTATTGCAAAAATGGTACAATTCTTACTTTATGGCTCTTGAGAGATTTGCAGAACAAATTGTCTTCTCTCTCCATCCCTGCAAAAGTTTCTTGAGTTCTGTCATTTAAATAGATATTGCCTAAACTTTACAAGACATATCTTCTGTGGTCCAAACTTGCACATAGGCATATGAAAAGTAGATTCCTTGTATCCAAAAGAAGCGGCATGTTCATGGTTTAATATTATTATTTTTACTACTAATTTTTGAACTGTGTTCCAGTTTATTGGACCGTGTTTCAGTCGTTGTGCTAAGCTTTTTATATCTATTAAAAATTTTAATCCTCACCACACTGCTGAGAGGCAGATGTATTGCAAAGTGCAGAGTAGATTAACTGGGTCACAGTCACAGGTTACTGCACAGAGCTGGAATCTACCTGAGGAAGGGAAGACAGGAAATGCAAAGAAAAGTATAGCGGTTCCTTCAGCGTCTCCAGGTTTCTACTGAGACCAGAGTACTACCTTAGAGGACTGTGATATTGAGACCAAAGACCAGTATCTATGAGATAATAAGAGTATTGGCATCACTGTCAAAGGTGAGGGTTGGGTAGACAGATATTTGGATGCTGCGGCATTGAATTTAATGGAATTTCTGATATTGTTAAGTGTCTGATGAAGATAGTAGAATAAACCATTGGGATTTAGTTTATGCCAGGTGGTTCAGAGTCCATGTCCAATACACCTGTACCATCATAGAGAAGAGGGAGGCTTTGAAGGTTCCAGCCGCTGTGCTGAGCACTTTAATTTAGTGAACATTAACTGACCCAATCCCTGCAGCACATTAAAGTGTTGGGTTTTGGAAAAGCCCAGAGAGGTCAAATGGCTCATTAAAGGTCATGCTGCTCAGCAGTGACTGAGCTAGCACTTGAGTCCAATCAGTGGCCGTCCTCCTTGAGCTCTTGTTGACTAATTCCAAGTTCTCAGGGGAGTTTCATGCCTGGCTTCAGTGATGCCAGTACATGCCAGTAAAGGCATTTGTCTCTCTGCCGATTGGCTTTCAAAGGGTGCTTTCTGATGGTGAGATGCACACCTTCCCACGTGGAACTGGATCAGAGTTCTGTAATCTAAGTAATTGACTTAATTTTAAGGCATCTCTAAAGAATTATGTGACTGTGGCATTAAACCCTATGAGATTAGAAACCAGGTATTCTCAGCACCTGGCAATAACTATTTATTGAATAAATGACCTTTACATAATCCGATTAAAAGGAATCAGACTCATGGAATTAGGATTATCTAGCGAAGATTCAGCTTCCTGGCCTGGGATGAGTTCAGTTAGCTTTTAAAATTAAATACATTTGGACATCTCTCCTTGTGTATCATTAGTAGGTTTAGCATTACGTCCTTATTTTAAAAAATAAGCGTTGTTGCCACTCGTAAGGTTCTCACATAAACCTCAATTTGTTGCTTAAGACATTGTGCTCATTTGTCCTGCTAACATGACATGCAGATATCATCATTTTTGTCTAGAAGGTGATAATTGCAGATTCAGTTACTTCTAAGAGAAAGAGATGTTTAGAAGATTGAGAGCAAAGCTGAGAATCTGGGAGTCATCTTTAACAACGTGGAAATATCCCGCAGGGAGTGTGTGCCATGAGGCGACTCTAATGTTTCCTTTGCACTTCTGGGCTTTTTGGGGGAAGATATATTAAAACACTGTCAATTAGCTGAGCTGTGCTATATTTATAGAAATATAAAACATATATTTGCTTTATTTTTAGTGGGGTTTCTTTTTATTTATACTGGTCTACTTCATACACATTTTTTTTTTTTTTTTTTTAGAAAGGGTATTTCAGAAAATGCTTTCAGGGATGTTGCTGTCGACTTTCACGTATGAAGCCTTAGTGCGGTTGATAACTAGAAATTTTAATTTAAGATGTCTGAAGAATGCTTTACTGTTAATTGAAAGGATTTTTTCCCCAGTATCACAGCCAATGACTCGTCTTGAGCAGCTAATTAGTGCGATTATTCCACAGCTGCATTTGCTACAGCACAAAGGTTTGCTCCTGTTTTTATCAAAAGGATCAGTCTCTCTGGGAATGTTTTAACCTGACAGGCTTTGAATAGTAAGGCTGCTTATTTATTTATTTATTTATTTATTTTTAGATAACCGTCCCCCCTTAACCCCCACTGTGCCCCTCATCACAGCTCTCCTTCTTTTCTTGGCTTAGGAGGGTACACTTGAGCTTTGAACACATACTCTAAAGTGGGAAAATATATTTTCTTTTTATGCTCTTTTTGTGAGCTGTATCAAGTGAATAGATATTTTGAGTAGAGTAACAGCCAGATGCCCTTAATATGTGGATGAGTATATGATATTAAATAATAAGCAAGGTATTAACATTGTTCGATTTGTGTGTGTGTGTGTGTAGAAAATGTAGGAAAACATGAAGGAAAGAGAAATTGTGTTTTCTGGAATGCTGAGCACTTCCAAGAGTGCCGATGTGCTGGATACAGCCACCACTTTCCCATCGTATTGTCAAAATGTTGTCTATGTTGGATTCTGTCTCCTTCCTTCTAGCCAAATGGTGATTTTGATCACTCAAGTCTTTTCTTCATGTTCTTAAATTAGTATCTAGAGGCATATATTCTGCCATTGAAAAAATACTATGATTTTAGGGGAGAAAATGATAGAAATATAAAATTACCTGTAATTCTGTTCTCACTCTGGCAACTGTAATGATCTTTGCACATTCCTTACTAATCATTTTGCATATTTGTATACATGCATTTTAAATTAGAATGTAAATATACTTTTGAACCCTACTTTTAAATTTACTCTTGCAGCATACATTTCCCACTTTGCTCTGTAGTTGTGCAGTTTAAAGAAAAAATAGGTAGTATTTTATTGACTTCATGTATGATAATATACTAAACCATTCTCATAATCTGGGGCAAATTTTTGATGATTCAAATATTTTCCAGTTTGTAAAGAGCTTTATAATATCAGTTGTTGCAAGTTTAAGTTATTAGGAAAATTGTCTATCACAACATTTCTGAATCAAATTGTATGAACAACTTTTTAGCTTTTTGGTAATGTTGTTTTAATATATACAAGCAATGGTGTAGAGTAACATTATCCTTACACTTGTCATGGGCAGTTTGTTTAAAAACAAACAAGTAAGCTAAAAACCTTGGATCTTATCTTAAATCTTATTTTGTACCTGGCTTTTCTAAGTTCATTATATTGTGTAGTTTTATTCATGTCAGTAAATATATTTTTGCACTGTTTTGAATGGCTGCATCATGTTACATTATGATTCTCTGACAATTTACTGAACTGATTTCCTGTTGTGAAAATAAGTGAACTGTTAAATTGTTATTGTGTAGTTTTTCTGGGATAGTGTGAGGGTAGAACCAACACTTCTTCATTCCCTAGCATTTTGTTACCTTCAGAGTTTGAAGTTTTTGTCTTTAAGGAGTTCATGAAGAAGGTCAATGATATTAGGGCTTTATTTTACCTTGTATTGGAAAATAAAAGATAATACTAGAGTTTACACTCAGGGAAGGATGTTCAAAGTATAAATACTTACCTTGAAGCATGACTTTCTCAAGAGTGAATATTTTCTCAAATGTTCCTTTTCTTCTGTTCCAGGTGCTAAGGCTTTGAACTGTTGACGTAAACAGAGATGTTAAAAAAAACACACACACACATAAAGAGAAATAAACAATGAAACATTTTCTAGATATAATAATAGTGAAAGCAAACATTTGTTGAGGCAGTGCTATATGGTACTCACTATTCTAGGGGATTTATGTGCCTTGCTTTATTTGATCCCCCCAAATCCCTAGGAAGTAGGGCTTTAAAATATACATGATGCAATAGAAATTTTAAAAGAACACCTCTCACCTTTATAAATGGTAAGTGGGTAGAAAACTATTGTTATCCTTCTTTTCCAGATATGGTAACCAAGGCAGAGAGAGGTTTAATAACTTGATATCATATTTAGGAAAACCATATTTAGGAAAATTAGGAAGTCTTTTCTTTTTAATTTGTGAGTAGAGTTTCAGCATTTTTAATAATTTTGGGTAGAGTGAATACCAAAACCATTAGAAGTAGTCCTCATGGGGAATGCACAGAGAACACATAGTAACAAAGTAGAGGGCATGCCAAAGTGAATCAGAAGAAAAGACGGCACAAAGAAAACCAGGCAGAGAAGTATTGGCTTGTCAGACCAGCTTGTCTTCTGCCCCCTTGCCCAAAGACTGAGGTCGAGTTCAGTGTTAACATTCTGGCCCAAGTGCTTCCTTCATTAATTATTTTTACTTCGCATATCTTAGAAAAGTTTCCTCTTGACAAAGCTCACCTTTGTTTTAATCAATTCCTTGTTAGTAAACATTTTAGTCATCTTCAAAGAACTTAGATAACATGTAGGAGTAGTTATTTGGTTAGATTCAGTTGTACAAAAAAGCAAATCAAGCAATTTATTTTTAAATGTGGAAATTTGGGTGCCATTAAGATGCTTTGCTTCTTGGCAGTGCATATGGCGGCGCTATATTTGGTGGTGATGAGTAGTGTGCAGCATAAAATGTCAAAAAAAAAAAAATTAAGCCGCCTGATAAAAATGCCTAGATGCAATCAAGCTGACTTATTTTAATTCAACTACTAATGACTTAAATCCTGTCACCTCTTGATTTTCAATTATGTGGAGTACCATTCCGTGACTTGATTATATTTGCACAGACTCATTTTATAGTTTGGTGCAATTTAGGATACCCCAAAGTGCAAATGGAGGGTCTCATTAGGAAACTAAATGTATGCCTTTTGGTTTTCCCACAGCAGTTCCGCGGAGCATCCTGGGGCCTCCAAGCCTCCGATAAGCTCCTCCAGTATGACATCACGCATCTTGCTACGCCAGCAACTCATGCGTGAGCAGATGCAGGAGCAGGAGCGAAGGGAGCAGCAGCAGAAGCTGCAGGCGGCCCAGTTCATGCAACAGAGAGTGCCTGTGAATCAGACACCAGCCATAAACGTCAGTGTGCCCACCACCCTTCCCTCTGCCACCCAGGTGCCGATGGAAGTCCTTAAGGTATGTGAGTGTCGCTCTGGTTGGTTAGACCAAACTCTCTTCTATTTTCCATTTGCTAGGTGTTCTGTATATCTGAATGTGTATTTCCGTTAGAGTGGCCCATCAGAATTATATTTGAAAGCTCCAACTCCCTTAATTTTTACATGGCTTTACATTTTAAAAGAAGAATGCAAACGCATTGTAACTGTAATAGTAAACCTCAATAAATGGTGGGAAAGAGTCAATGTTCCATGAGAAATTGCAAGTAGGAATACGTGTTTGTTGTAATGACATCTGTCTTTGGGAAAGTTTCAAAACATAAGAGTTATCTGAGATCGGCCCCTTCTAATAACTTGTGTATCTTAAATATTTTTTCTTAAATACCTTCCATAGCCACTCTTTAATTTTCTTTTTATTTAGTATGTAATATTGGTTGTAGAATCTGACTCTTTTAGAAAGCTCTTCAGATATAAGACTGAAGAAGAGCTTTCTGAGCTTTAATAACCAGACTACATAATCCTTTTACTGAAGTGAGCTGTCTGCTTTGGGTCTCTTTGATTTCTTGCTAGAGTAGAAACTGCAGGAGCTTGTTAGCATCATTCTATTAGGGACATATAGCTTCCTAATTACTAGGGAAAATTGTAACAAGTCTAAGAATAGAATTCCATCTCACACATGTGTCTTCCACATCACATAGGGAGGTACTCCTTGTTTAAGGATAAACATTTCAGTTTTTAAATATGACTGATTCAAGGAAAGTTGAAAGTAGGGAAACTTCCTTATTTTTATTTTTTTAATTTTATTATTTACTCACCTAATTGATTCATTCCGAAAAGTCTCAAGTGTTACTGTTCATTAAACAATGTGAACTTTACAGGCTGGTGATTCATTATTAGTTTTTGCATTCGTTCATGTGCACAGAAAAAACATCTCCCACTATTTAAAGTTTACTATTAAAGTAAATAGAGAGACGATGTGTTATAATCAGGAATCAATCTGTGAACCTTACCAGGAAGTAGGAAAGAGGTTCTTTAAAAAACAAATCAAGAGTCAGTTATGTTTTAGTTGTGAAGACTTTAAATGTGGTGATGATGAAATAATGGAACTCGGATGAAGAAACCAACTGAAATTGGGTTAGGGCAAAAAAGATCCAAATGGTTTAGCATAAAATTTTACTCTAATGTGATTGTTTGAAATTCTGAATATGGCCACAATTAATGGATTTTTTCCCCTTTTTTTAACTCCTCAATTAACCCAAGATTTTCTCTTTGGAATTGATGACGCATTGAATCTTTCTGTTTTGCTTGCGTGAAAATTGATGATCACTATTTGAGTTTTTATAAATTTAAGTATTATTTAAGATTTAAGTTGTTGTCTCATGTCTGCAGGAGTGTAATTGTTTTGTGTATACCTTAGGTTATTTAAAATTTTATGAGTTAAATAGTAATAAGATGTGGAGAAATATGTCTATTTTATTCATCATGATAGTTTACTTTTTAAATTTCAAGGGCAAATTTTGGAAGAGTTGTTGTGGATTTGGGCTAGTAGTGGTTTACATCCAATTGAAGGTAATGTTTGATACCATGTTAAAGTATATTTATTAAAATTAGTATTCCTGTTAAGGCAGCTACGACTGATAGAAAGGAAATAACTCAAATGAAAATGTGTTGAAACATCATTTTCTGATTATCTTAAAAATGTGCATAATTTCTAAATGTTTTTATCACTTTATATTAGTTTTGAAAATGATTAAAATTGAAATCTACATTAAGTTGTTTGAATAACGTAACAATTTTTTTATATGTTGCTGTGTCCTGGTAACACTGGATTGAGCTGCAACCCCTAACTTAGGTATGCCAGAAAAATGTCCAAAGTTAAAGCACAAATAAATCGTTACAACTGGAAGACAGACTGTAACTAAAAATAAGTATTTGGTAAATTTCTCTTTTATATTGAATACAGTTCATGTCTGTTTAACTTTTGCTTTTTTATACTTCAGTTATATAAACTAGCAAACTATATCATATAAATAAAAATAAAGAATTATTGGCATAACTATATGGTTAAGTTTGATAGTGATTTAGGCAAACTTTAGTATCCTTAAATTAAGAAACAAATAAGAATATATTATTTCACTAAGGTAATATTTTAAGAAAATAAAATAACATTTTAAAAGAATATCATATAAGTGATTGCTTCAGATACTTAAAGACTAAGGACTTTATAAAAATAGTTGGCAGTTTCAAAATTTTGTGTATAAAAGTATTATGAAACATTATAGAAAGATAAGTGATAGAAAGGTGGTTATTTTTTTCTTTTTTATAGTTTTCAAATCATAAGCTTAGTTTTATGAAGTAAATGGTTAATAGCAAAACAGTTAATATGCTTAATCTTAGACCATTTAATTCTCCATGAATATATATTTTCAAAGAATGGTAATACCACATATACAAATTGAGTGCATTATGATACAGATTATATTGAATAAGTATTTTCTCATAGAATAGCCTGAGCAAATTCATTTAATTTTTAAAGTTTTAACGTGCTGAAACAGAACATACCTACTTCTCAGTGGAGGTAGATGTATGCAGTTAGTCACACTAACATGCACTAAAGAATCTGGTTAAATCTCTCCATCTCCCAACTTGTTTATAAGAACCTGAGAGAAGAAAGGTCACAGTTTAGTTTTCATACCCGCCCAAAGTTAAGTTACTAACATTCTACTGTCTGGATGAATGACTGATTTCAAAAAGCTAAAGCAATGTTTTCAGGTTAATCCCTTTCTTTGACAGAGTTAAAGTTAAAATATGAAGATTTATAAGGCATGTTTAAAAGTTACTGACATCTGGTAAACTTAGGACTAGTCAGATTTGGGGTTAGAGGTAGAAAATCTGCATCACTAATTCCTCAACACATGGTCGTTATGCAGTGAGTAAGTTCATGAATCTTTGTAGGATTAGCCTCTGGTTTCTATATTGATTTAATAATATATGAATTTTTCTCCACATTGATTTTCATTTTGGTGGACATGGAATGATTAGTCTTATTGCTATATATTTACATAGCAAAGATATTCTCCACGTTTCTTAGGAACAATCTTACCCAATTGGGTATTGTAATTTAAGGATGCTCTTTTACCGTAAATTAACCAACACCTGGAGTGCATAATGCATTTTTTTGTAGTGGGAATACAGTTTGTATTTTGAATTGTGAATTAACAACAACAAAAAAAGTCATCAAGAACCATTAATGGAATCAGTTTCTTCCACAAGTGGGTTTTGTTGACATGCAAGTAATACAAACCTGAAGTTTGAAATTTGATGTAGATTTTTTTCATAAAATAAAAAAGAGTAACTGTGAACAGACCTGTAGACCAGTTCAGCCTTATTGCTAAAGCATCATGGTACAAGCCACCGAGTTAATCATTTGCATAGGCATCATGCATCTGTTTTCATGGTTTTGTCTCTCTGACATTGATGAATTATAAAAACACTTGGTTGCTCTCATCCTGGACTGACAAGTTAATCAGGATTTCTTCCCCCACTATCTCCCAACATGGACTCTGACAGTTGATAGCTTCAAAACATTAGTTTACAGCTTGAAAATGTTTCTCTGTTCAGAAATCTGAAGGGAGTTGCCAAGGATTCCCCACTACCACTCTCTCTCCTTCCCTTCCTTTCACCTTGAAATTTAAAATTTCAAAGGCAAAGGCAAAGTGTCTTCTCTGGAACAGATTGTCCATTGAATTTTTCTGTTCTGCTTAAGAGAAAGGTTACGTGCATTTTAAAAAGAAAAGATTTTTTTTTATTACTTTAGGGTATTTCTCAAGTACTTTGAAGAAATTTATTTTTAAATTCCCTTTTCTCCAAATCATCTCAAGAGTTGGGCAAATTGCTCTGTAATTAGTGATGATGCTTGCTGTTTGTCAAATACAGAAGCACTTTTTCTGGGCTCCTCTACATTGTAAACTAAATTTACTTGGGTGTTTATTTGGTGGTTATCTCATCAAAGTTGCCTCTTGTTTGGATTCAGATTCTAGCGAAGTGGGCTGGAAGTCCTGCTCCTTGTCACCCTGTTTCAAGAACTGACATTCCATATTTCACTAGTGAGTGGAAGAGTTGATGACTGAACTGCTGGTCTTTGTAAATTATGGAATCTGCATGGAGTAGAATTTTCAAGGTGTGATTTATTTTTTAGGTAGAACACAGAAACATGAAAATGTGTGTGTGGAGTTACAGGTGGATTGGTGGGCTACAGATTGGCAGAAGGGACTTCTCCCACAGCCTACCCTTAGATTTTGTTTCAGATTTATTTAGCCAGGAATACAGATCCTAAATAGCACCACAGTGGCTGCAAGAAGCCAGAACAGATATAGTTTGTCTCGGATCAGCTTGCCTTGGTCCCTTCAGTTAGGGGATCTCTTGCTAGAGGTGTTATTCTCACAAGATGAAGACCTGCTGTGTCTGAGATTTCTTCTAATAGCACAATTCATTCACACATGGACCAGCATACACTTATGTCCTCTATAGTGTGACTTACACAAACAACCTGTCAGCCTTGATTTCAAGGATCATTCATAAATATTGGTTCCTTTTGTTTTTGAATCAATGTTGGTGTTTCAGGGAGAGAAAGGGACTCAGATTTCAGGTTCTACAAACAACTCTTCATCCTCCCAGAAACCTCATTTCCCTGCAGAATCTGAATCATTCAGTGTCACACAAAAGGTAATTTTCTCTCTCTTTAAAACTCATGTTATTGATTTTTTTAAGTTGCAGACAATACTTGTTAACTTTTAACAGATTTAAACAGTGCAGCAAAATAATTCAATATCTTACCCTGCCTACCACCACCTCCCTTCCATCATGTTCCCTGGAAGGAACTGCAGTTAACAGTCTAGGGTGCAGCCTTCCTGATATTTTCTGTTTTCCAACCCTGTCACCAATTGCCTTTTATAGGAGTGAGGTCTGAAGAAATATATTAGGCGGGTTTTGTCAGGTAGATATAAACCCTTTATTTTTCTT